GGCAAAAAAAAAAAAAAAAAAAAAAAAAAAAGAAGAGAACACGCGAGCCATCTGACGCTACGGTGAAAAACAAAGACTTGGATATTGAAAGTGTGCCGTTTGATGGTGGTGGAAGAGGCATCTATACGTCTACTTATACCCTACGCCGAGTTATTCGGTTCGGTGTGTGGATGGGGGGATGGTCGCGCGCGCGCCAGCCAGCCAGGGATGAGAAAAAGAGTATACACGACTGATCTCGACTAAGATTATAAAATGGCGACCCTCACCCCCTCGGCCTGGCTGTTCTTAATTTCGCTCGAATCCTTTTGTCCCCTCTTACTCAGTCTGCTTTCCCCTTCTTCTTCTTCTTCTTCTTCTTCTTCTCCTTTTTTTTTTCTTTTCGCCAGCCATCTCTCGCCTACTCCACCCACCCGCTTCCTCCTTTGCCTTTCCACGGCGCTTGCTTTCGCAATCGGCACAGGCTCTCGAGACGTTGGCAAAGGAATCCTCGCGAACAGCAGAGGAGGAGCTGGAGGCTGGTGAATTCTTTTGCGCGGCCGTTCTGATGAATATAAGAATCGTCCGGCCACCACTCGTAACCGTGGATACGGATACCAACGCTGCACGATCGTCGCGTAAACGGAGGGATGGCTCTCTTTGATTAATTCGAACGTTGAGCAACTTTCTCCCTATGATCGGGAAGATCCTCGTGTTCTTTGTAAACGTCACAGGCGAATCTACACATCGTGTACAACCGAACGTTAGACGATTTTGAATTGAAACGTTGCTATCGTCCGATCGATAAAATTCCAACAACTGGCCAGAGTCTGAGCTGTCGTTGATTAATTCGAACATTTTATTTTATTTCATAATTTCTCCCTATGATCTGGAAGGTCCTCGTGTTCTTTGTAAACGTCACAGGCGAATCTACACCGAACGTGAAGCGATTTTTGAAGATTTCATTGAAGACCAATCGATGAAATTCGAAGAACTAAAAGGTGTATGATTATTTTTTTCACGTATCGTGTATTACCTATAGAAAATCCCACGTTTAGAATGTTACTTAACCTCTCCAGGGACGGATTTTTAATATCAGTCGTAACAAAGAAATTTTATTTTATTTCTTACTCGCGTTATGACAATTGGGATTTACTTTCTGGTTAGTAAATTTAGCAAAGATTGCACAATGGAAGTAGCTTTTTTTTATAGCTTAGGACGTGACTTAGGAAGTGTCCACATAAGGGCGTGAAGAGGTTAAATTTGGTTTGGCGCCTTTTTTCCTTTTTGCCATTCTCAAATCCAAATTGTTTCAAAAGTTTCCAGATCATCTGTCAACTTCGAGTTAGTTTCTAGCGAATTTTAACCCCTTGCCCTCGACAAATATTTTTTTTATCATCTACCAGCAGTTCATTTACAAAGCATCACCACTTTAAATAAAATGACGTAGCATTGGATAATAATTTTCTAACAAGTAATATCGTTTAAATCTAAATCATCAATGTGCATTGGTTCAAGGTTTCCTGAAGCTAGTATAATATATTAACAAGAGTTAATTGGGTACATGGTTTAGGTTAGGTTCTCCAATCTCTGGAAACATAATACCCTCCGCCATTTTTTATACTTTCGCAAGAAGCGACAAGAAGTCCAGTTTATGTGAATTATTGAGTGTCAATTGACTCATTTAGGACTGTCTTCAGGAATTTCTTCTTTTCTTCTTCTTACGTCGTTGTTCTAGCTTTCACTCTAAGCTGTTCAGGCACTGTACTATTATACATCGCATCGTACAACACCAAATGTACACAATTGTCAGCAAAGTCATAAAAAGCTCGGTCCGAGCTAGATTTAGTTGCAAAGGGTTAAACCTTCTACCCAGACGGTGAATGAAACTTTCAGCTTCCCATCATTCTCTCTGCCCCAATGAACTTACCAGATATCACCTGTCAACTTCGAGTCAGTTTCTAGCGAATTTGAAACCCGCTGTCCGCATCGTCACGGTCAAGGAAACACACAGGTAGTGTCGCACATGGCCAATGCAGGCACAGAGAGAAGAATCCTCTCGTAGATTTCGAGAAGCTTCTTCTTCTTCTTCTTGGGGGCCGGTGTGCTGGCAACACGTCATCGGGTTGTCAACGGCGCATCATCGGCAGCCAGAAGGCCGGAGAGAAGCTTGGTCGTCGCTTCGGAGGACGCTTCCTGGTGCGTCGATCGCCATATTGGAGGCGGTCTATCCCTCCGCCAATCGGCCCTGTAGCTTCAGAAGCGTGGGTGCACGCCACCACCAATGGTTTCCTCCTGTTCCCCACTTCGCGACCACCACACCCACCAGTGTCACGTGCGCACAAGCGGCTGCAGAATCGCTCCGACAGTCGTTCGCGTACTCTCGCACCGATCGGATCGGTGACATATCCTTCGCCTAATCCCATCAGGGTTTACGTCGCGATTTCGTTCACGCTCGACAAAACGATCGTTAAATCATAGATAATCCACTTTGCGCTTCGAAACTGCCTCGTTCGATGGATCGAAATCGGACGTCCATTCTCGGGCGAATGTTGGGCTACCTTTCGTTGGAAAGTGACGTGCGATGATGTTGAAGAGTAAAAATGTTCTTTCGCGGGGGGGAGTTGTTCGCCTTCTTCCGGATCGAGTGAGAGTGAATCGACTTGATTGACGATTAAGGAGGATAGCTACATTGTGTTTCGACAGAGTCGATGGTTGACAGAAAGTAGAATCTGCAGTTGAGAACGAATGAAAATGAAAGAGGAAGAATAAAGCGAAAGTGTGTAAATAAGATGATAAAGTAATTCGCGAAGAAAGAAGATGAACACGAACCTCTCGTGAAGAGACATGATAAAGAATATCATGACGGAAGAGTGACAAGAGTACAGAGACTGAACTGAAAAAGAAAGAAAAGGAAAAAAAAAGGAAAGAAGAAACGCAACTATGACTATGATAAGTCTGGAAATGTTGGGCCGCGAGGCTCTACCTTTGGAAGGGATGTATCGGCGCGCTCGTCAAGATGTCTTGACACCGCCGCGCGATAGCCCGGAGTCTCAAAACAGCCGGCGGAACGGTAGTAACGCCGGGAACGTCGCGAGCTTCGACGGGGCTCCTCGCCGCGAGATGCACCCCCTAGACCAACCGGCCGTGGAGCTTGGCTTGCCGCCCAATTTGCCTGAAATCCTCTACTGTAAGTGGGGAATCTTGGTTTCCAGCTCGTCAACACACGACGAGTATCACTTAATGTCACGCGTGTAACATCGCGAAACGAAGAGACGTCTCCGAAAAATAATCGAAACGTACGACAATTGAAACTAGATTTCAGACAATAGACGTTTACGACGATTTGAACTTACAATTAGAGAACGATACAGCGGTTGGAGCGGAAATATCTTGCTCAGGTTATTAGAAACAACAATTGAGTGTTAAAATACTTTACCGACCGATAAATGTATGTTAAAATACTTTACCGACCGGTAGCCTATTAAACGGCTACTATTTATGATAATTGTACGAATTGTATTTATGATATATATGTACGATAATTTAAACTAGATTTCAGACAATAGACGTTTACGACGATTTAAACTTACAATTAGAGCGAAAATATTTTGCTCGTTATTACATTAGAAACAACAATTGAGTGTTAAAATACTTTACCGACCGGTAGCCTATTAAACAGCTACTATTTACAATAATACGTACGATAGTTTAAACTAGATTTCAGATAATAGACGTTTACAACAATTTAAACTTACAATTAGAAAACGATAGAGCGAAAATATCTTGCTCGTTATTACATTAGAAACAACAATTAAGTGTTAAAATACTTTACCGACCGATAAATGTGTGTTAAAATACTTTACCGACCGGTAGCCTATTAAACGGCTACTATTTATAATAATTGTACGAATTGTATTTATAATAAATGTACGATAATTTAAACTAGATTTCAGATAATAGACGTACGATGATTAATACACTTAGATATAGCAATAATATCTTGCTCGTTGTTGCAAATAACAATTATTAAAACAGTTTACCGACCGATAGCCTATTAATCGGTTGCTATTTACCGGTCGGTAAAGTGTTAATTGTAACTTGACTCGTATATTATTGTTAACTCTTTGCACTCCTTTGACTGAACATCAGTTTTTATCACAGAAGTTCTTACGTTGAGTCGCACTCGATATTTTTAAATTGCCAAAAAAGAAAAATATATTGAAAAATAGTTTAAAGTTAAACAAAGGGTTGAAATTATCACAATTGTAAAAATAAAAAGAGACGTACTCGTGATTTTTATTGCAATCAAGAACTTTGCAATATTGCGAGCGCCTTCGACGATGTATTTCCGAGCGTTGAACGATTCTTCGTTGAATGTTGCAGCTTCGATACCAAAGTGCGGAGGCTGCCAGGAAGCGATTTTGGACAAGTACGTTCTGAGAGTGTTGGAGAGGTGTTGGCACGCTAGGTGTCTCACGTGCCGTGATTGCGGCGCGAGATTGACCGATAAATGTTTCGCAAGAAACGGCCATGTTTTCTGCAAGGACGATTTCTTCAAGTAAGTACCAATAATTATTTCCAT